GTTTATTCTATTTAATGCATTTTGATGAGTGATTTTTTTCTTAACCATAAAAATTAAATTTTTATAACTGGTTATAAAGCTATGTCGGAATGTTATTTCTAATTAAATCTCTTACTTGTTACATCATGTTCCCCTTTTAATTAAATGCTGTTTATTGAGAGTTAAATCAGATTCTTTAGAGGTTATGTGATTCTATTGAATAACAAAATAACGATTTTATCGAAAGGATGAGTTAAGAAATATCGATATAGGCATTCTTAATTTTTGTAGCAGTTTGTGATACGCAAATTCAAGATAAAGTTGTAATTCCGATATTTTATCAAAGGCGCCATAATGAGTATCTACGTGGCTCCATCGTACGGTTGAGATCAAGGTCCCCCGATAGTTTTCCCATGGAAAAGCGACAGTTTCCCTCCCGAACAAATTTTCTCCGCGTCTGCCGCGTAACTCAACGATGGAGTTTACAACGCGGTGTCAGTGTGTGATAGTTTGCGATTTTATTTAAAACCCAGTATTTATTACCTGTAGAATTGAACGTGTGCATTAATTGTTTGCAAAGAATTTTCGTTGTCTATTAAACAATAAAATCGTGAGATTATTTACTCTCACGTACGAGAAAATGCTCGTCCTCGTATAGCGATATTCAATAAGCGGTTACGTGGGTATCATAATGGTACGTAACCTAACGCAGTAACATTGCTTAAAAATTACATTAATTTACAATCTGTGAATTGTCACCAAGATGAATCCCGAAGTATTGAAACATTGTTTTGCGTTTTAGATGAGGTGACACCTGGTTCTGCCATGCGGAACAGGTCAGTCACTGTTATTTTCGGCTCTCTTGTTCTGTGGGGTTTGATTACATACTTTTTGATTTCTGATCAGCCAGTGAGTAAGGAACAGGATACGGTAAGTCTATAGACTTGACAAATAATAGAAATTTATGATTAAACAAGAATTTTGTCTATAGGCTAGAGTATCGAATCAAATTAGTAAATTGGAGAGGAGAGTGAAGCAAGAAATAGCTTTGAATCAGGAACTTTTTCAGAATATTAAAGAAGATAAGCAACATAAAAGTATGTGGTTATAACTGAATAAAAAAGATTGCTTAATGATTGAACTTTAATTTTTTGTTTGTAATAACAGAAAAAATAGATACTGTAAATGGAAACACAGGTGGACAGCACAAGGATACTAATCATGTCAATCAAGACAAGATTCTCCTTGAAAAAGAGGAAAAGGATATAGAGAATAATAATATAAATGCACATGAGGTACAAACAGATCCTGTGCATTTAGTGAGTATTCTATATTAAGATTTAAAATACATGTAATTTAAATTGCTATAACTTACTTCTATTTTGTATAGAGTGAAACCTCTCATAATGTTCCTATAAAAGGAAAGCTACCAAATGGATCTCCAATAATAGCAGTTTTGGTGTTTTCTTGCAATCGTATTACTGTACAAAGATGTCTTGATCAGTTGATAAAATACAGACCCAATGTAGAACAATTTCCTATTGTTGTCTCTGAAGATTGTCAACATCGCCAGACAGCTGAAGTTATTGCTAGATATGGAAATCAAATAATGCACATACAAGTATTACATTATATATCTTTTTTTTATTTATCAGTGACACCAGATCAGAATAAAATAATAATAATGAGAAATATACTTTAGCAACCAGATCAATCAGATATTGAAGTACCCCCAAAAGAAAAGAAGTTTAAAGGATATTTCAAAATTGCACGCCATTATGGATGGGCTCTTAATCATGCATTCTTTGAACTTGGATATGATACTGTGATAATAGTTGAAGGTTGAAGCTAATATTTTTCTTTTTTAAATTATGTTTAATCATTTTGTACAAAATTTATTATTGTTCTATTTAGATGATTTGGACATAGCCCCAGACTTTTTTGAATATTTTCTGGGTACATATCCTCTATTAGTGTCTGATAATTCTCTGTGGTGCGTGTCAGCATGGAACGACAACGGCAAAGCTGGTTTGGTTGACGAGAATGCAGTAGATGTGTTATATAGAACAGACTTTTTTCCTGGGCTAGGTTGGATGCTAACGCGTCAATTATGGACAGAACTTTCTCCGAAATGGCCCAAATCGTATGTGAAAATTTTATTAAAGTAATGGACTACTCAAAAAAATCATAGAATGATTATTTTTAATTAACCTAACAGTTATTGGGACGATTGGATAAGACAACCCGAACAACGTCGAAATAGAGCCTGTATTAGACCAGAAATATCCAGAACAAGAACATTTGGCAAGACTGGAGTAAGCAAGTATGTATTTTAACCATAAAAATCGTACATTAAATAATAAAAAGAGGTGCTTCCATTTAATCATGACGTTTTTACAGTGGAATGTTCTACGAAAGGCATTTAAAATATATCAAGCTGAACACTGAATTCGTGCATTTCACAAAAATGAATTTAACATACTTATCAAAAGTAAGAGAAGTATATTAATTATGTTCAATAAGTTTAACTGTTCATTGATTTGTTTAATGTATAGCTACGGTAATCTAAACTCGACATTGAACCTTATTTTATCAAATACTTTTTTTTAGGACAATTATGATATAAATTTCGTTAATCAAGTGTATCAATCTACAGTGGTAAGTTTCTCTGAATTGAAAAATGGAAAGGTTATGGCACCAGGCGCCGTACGAATCCCTTACTATTCCAGACAAGCGTATAAAACCACTGCCAAGCAATTCGGATTGATGGACGACTTCAGGGTAATCATTAAATTCTAAGTAAAAATTCGAGGTGATATAAATCGATTATATAAAATAATTTGTTTTGCAGAGCGGTGTACCTAGAACTGGTTATCGTGGAGTGGTCACGTTCTTTTACAAAGGAAGAAGAGTACATTTAGCGCCAAGTGCAAACTGGAATGGCTATGATATAACTTGGAGCTAACAAAAATTTTGAACTTTTTTTTAGAATGATACGAGATTAATTGCTTCCACGAAGACATTCGTTAAAATTGAGTAAATATTTTAACTACGTTGGGCAAATAAACAGATATACATACACACACACATGCTCGCGCGCGTGCAGCACGAACGTTTATTGGTTACGAAAAATATATATCGAGTCGATGAATCTACTCAAGAACAACGCGGCTGCTTGTAATTTTTCTTGTAGAAAATTTTCCTGCGAAATTCGAATAAGCATTGTTATGTAATAAGAGATTTGCATAGTGCCTCAAGAAAAAAAAAAAACTTACCCACTGTTTGTACACGCAGTGCTGTGTAGACTATGATATCCGAGAAAACTGCTTCTTCAATTTATAAATTGTAATGTGTTACTTTCTTACAAAGTAAAAAATGAAAAAGAATAAAAAAATATGTACAATGAAAATATACATAGTTGGAAGAAACAGTGTTCCAGAATATCATGTTTACATTACACTGTATACCCAGATTATAAAACGACTGACAAGAAAGGCTTAGATTATTCGTGCAATTTGGTTTCTATTGGTGTTGCTTCTCTTCCATATTATTTAATTTAAGGGTGAACAAAGTATTGGTTCGTTGTAAATAGATTTAATAAGTTATATTGAAAATAGTATATATTCCTCTTTCAGGAATATTTTAAGTACTACTAAAAAATTGGTCAATTAATTGGAAGCTTTGCTCCATTGGTCACAGTAGTTTTGTATTGTACGAACAATCTAAAGTCTTCTGATCGTGTACATAATGTTTATATTATACCTTGTGCATAATTTGAAAGAAATTCAATATTTTGAAGTATATGTATTCCTTTTGCTTACTTTTGGTCGGTGTTAATTTCTTTTGATATCGAAAATCTATAAATGAAACGCATAACAGAAAATGTTTAGAGATAATTCTTACGTATTCTGTCGTTTATTTTTGAGTGGTTCATTGAAATGTGGAAGTTGCCACTTCAGAAAAAGTTAATTAATATTGTCTTCTGATTTCTTTATCGTGTAACGATAAACGAATGTTGCATTAATAAAAAAAAAGTCAAAACCAGAAATAGTGCTTTTATAAATATATAACTTTTTATGTCAGAATTTTGATTTTATATTAACACATTTTTTAAAAGACATTCTTACAAATTTATAATTTATTCCTAGCAAATAAGTGTAAACAATTTTAAATACATTTACTTGCATTTATTCACAACCTTAAATGGAACAAATACAAATACTGTGATAACACTTGTACTCTCAAGTTTTTAGTATATGCGAACTATAAAACTTATTGCAATACTAACAGACATTACTCAGCAAATAGTCCTCGCCAGCCATGTCTTGGTGGAGGATATGGTGCAGGTGCTGGATCAGGTAAGCGATTTGGAAACACAGGTTCCTTCCTTGGCTCTGGCTTTGGCCGTGGTGAATCATGTACTTTAGCTTCACAGAAGTATCCATAATATGGTCGTTCTATATTCAATTTTTCTTTCATACATTTATCAAAACTCCCCTGGGTCTTACCACACCTGATTAATTATATTGAATTATTACAATAACTCTTTTGCATTACAAATCACATTTCTTTGAAAAATATCCATAGCATACTTCTCCTCGCCGTTTAAAGATGATGCCAGCATGCAATCTACATGAGCTTGAAATTCATTTCTACAGTTTTTCTTGATATCTTGGAATACTTCAAGTGCACAGTTGGTTATATCTTTTCCTTCTTTGAGACACTTACGGGGATCTTTTAATTCGTATCTACATAATGTGTACTCCTAAAAGTATGAAGGTTCTAGTTTATAATTGAATAATAAACGATTTATTGTTAACCAAATTCATATAACTTTTATATTACTAAATTTAAAATAATTTCATTTATCATACAGTTCGTAAAAACTATGTTATGTAATCTTTAGAAACTGTGTGGGGCAACTGGTCTGAATAAATGAACGAAAAATGGTGGAAGAACACTTACATTGTTATACCATTCACATCTCTTTCCGATAAAGAAAGCGGCAGCTTTGATATACGGATAACTGATATTTAATTCTTGTTGTTCCAGTTCTTCGTCCGAAGGAAATGTGAAGTTCTTCGTATAAACCATATTATTTGAATGATGTCACTGATAAATCACAATAAAATAATGATGTGATTTTTTGTTTGTTTTATCAATTAATTGAGCACAATTATTAAAGTAAAAATTGAAACACCGGTTGACGCATATGATTTTCCACTATCATCGAATTCACGATATAGTTAGATATTGCTTAACCCTGTTGTTTTTAAAGACAGTTTTGCGTGCCCTCTTGTCGATGTATTTTGCAATGGCGGTGCATTTAAAGGTTAAAATTTAATGCTAACATCATGAGCATAACCTCCTCTTCCAACGATTCGTGTATTACTAACCTACTCCCTTACTTGATGCTGATTACGCATGCGAATTGATATGTATACTCGGTGAAATCGATATAGTGAGGTTATAAATTAAAGCATTAAGTAGCGACACCGATTGATATAGTGGCACCCAGGGTTATGCGTCATATATTAATTGATATTTAAAATTTCTGCTTACAATCTTTCATTAAAACTATACAGTATTAAGCCTCCATCACTCTCTACTCAATAAGGCAGAAGCAAAAAATAAACCTGTAGTTGTTAAGAATTAAGACGCAGACAAATTTTGTAAATATACTGTAATGGAAGAACCAATTTTGAATTGACATCAAACATCCCTAAACGAGTCTTGAGCTCCTTAGCTCCCTTAAGCTGTTGTTTTGGTGCTCAGATTTTACTAATTTACTATATCGGTTCCATCAACTATACCGCCTACAACTTTAAATTCCTTTTGAAGTCTATATACTAAATTATAATTATTTTTTAAATTATTACTCATATGGTAAATATGAAAATAATCTTCTTTCATCAAACGAATAAACACTTTTGCAGTTTTGTAACTTTTTGCACTTTTTATTCTATGATAGAGTTAACAACAAATGATGTTATAAAAAAATTTCTTGTCGTTAATTGCACATTCCTTTCCTTCTCAAATAATCAAAATACCGAGTATTTTTATTTGAAATGAATAGTAATAATTACAACTGATTTTCAATGATAGTTCGTAAACTTGATATACGATGAGGTTGAGCATCCCTGCAGTGCTTACTTTATCATGGCGAACGAGTGTCTCGTTTTGTTACATTCTAACTAACATTTTTATGGTTTTTGTGGATAATGAATATTTTATAAGAACGAAATTTCTTAAATAAATTGTACAATAATAATACAAGATCATGGGTGACAAAAGGCAGCACAATTTATCGGTACGTACTTCAATATTAATTCAATATAATCAGCATAATTTTTAATGAAATACATTTTTAATTGATCTCCAATTTAACGATCTTTCAATTTACTTGAAACATTAAATAAGTTGAAGGAAATTTTCTAATTATACAATGATTGTAATTGAAATATCGATTAAAGATATTTCAAGATATTGGAGTACGCGATATAAAGTGAACATACTCCAATTGTAATTTTTCTTAGTTAGCTTAAAATAAAACGAAAAATATTATAATACCGAGGCTAAAATTATTGTTTTCACAGAAAGAAGAAATAGCAAAACAGTTTATGCTGCCAGAAAGGAAAAGTAAGATTGCAACATTACTGAAACAGGATGGACAAGCTTACTGTATTTGCAGAAGTTCTGATAGTTCCCGTTTTATGATGTAAGATATAAATATATAAATTAATTTATCATTTGCTGATGCTAAATAAAATTTATGTTAATTGCAGAGGATGTGATGCATGCGAAGAATGGTACCATGGTGATTGCATAAATATAACAGAGAAAGATGCCAAACATATAAAACAATTCTTCTGTATTGTAAGTTTGTCAGTGAAAATAACTTTTATCCAAAGTATTAATTGTATACATGTTCAGCGCTGTAGAGAAGAGGATCCAACTCTAATAACCCGCTATAAGCCACGAAGGACAGATCAAGATGATCGCAAATACAGAAAGCACAAAGAAAAGGAAAGAGCACATCGATATGAATATGATGCACCTTGGGATCCTACAGTGGTAAAAAAATCATCAAAACGATGTGGAGAGTGTACAGGCTGCCTAAGAACTGAGAATTGTGGAAAATGTGACGCATGCAGGTAAGCAAATAATGTTAGTATAAATAAGAAAATTTGCTAATTATATTTTAATCCTTAGACATCTGAAAAAGTTTGGACCATCTGTAAGATTAAAACTGAGATGTATACAAAGAACTTGTCGAGTGTTAGGTGACCCACTGAAACCCTCTAAAAGTTTCAACAAAAGTTCTAAATTCATCAGGAAGCGCAAACGAGATTCGAGTAACGAGAGAAACGAATATTTAGAAGTTTCAAGACATTGTTATGGGCCAGCTTGTACGAAACAATCCAGACCAGGCAGTAAGTATTGCTCCGATGAGTGTGGGTTGAAGCTGGCAACTAACAGAATTTACCAGGTACTGCCACAACGGATACAAGAATGGTCATTGACCCCTTGCATCGCAGAGCAAAACAACAGAAGACAATTAGAATCCGTTAGAAAGCAACAGCAAGATGTTAGAAGGATACTTCAGGAGTTGGACAAGAGACATACCGAACTGGACAGGATCGTAGAGCGTGCAAAACATGCGACGATCGATCCACAAACAGAAGTGGACGACAACGATGATACGGAGATGAGCATGTACTGTATCACTTGTGGACACGAGATTCATTCAAGGACTGCTATTAAACATATGGAGAAATGTTTCAATAAGGTATTCGTATAAGCTAACACAAGTACAATTTTCTATTAGAAAACAAATCATGTGCATTTACTTTCCAGTATGAATCACAAGCATCATTTGGTTCAATTTTCAAAACACGCATAGAAGGGCAAGTGATGTTCTGTGACTTTTATAATCCTGCAAATCGAACTTATTGCAAGAGGTTAAGGGTTCTTTGCCCTGAACACTGCAAGGATCCAAAGATCAGTGAAACCGAGGTGTGTGGCTGTCCATTGGTTACAAATGTATTCGATACCACTGGTGAATTTTGTCGGGCACCAAAGAAGAGCTGCGTAAAGCATTACGTGTGGGAAAAACTGAGACGAGCTGAGATCGATATGGAGAGGGTGAGGCAGTGGTTGAAGATAGACGAACTGGTCGAACAAGAGAGGCAAATCAGAGCGAATATGGCCACCCGTGCTGGTGTCTTAGCCCTAATGCTTCATTCTACATATAACCATGAACTGATGGAGCAGATGACGCAAGAACAAAACAGGGAGCAACTGGAAGCTATGGAAGAGGAGCTTCAACGAAGGTACGGTTTGCTCCAAAAAGAACAGAATGTGGAACAATGATCGTTTTGCTGATAAAGGTGTCTATAGATAATGGTATGTCGAATTTTTTAACGTATCTCCGCGATGTGTTTAGTATTGTGTTTATATCGATATATTGTACACTGTAATATTAGTAAGAATTCGAGATATATAGTAGAGTCTCGATTATCCGAGATGATGTAGACGGAGCCTACCTCGGGTAATCGAAGATTCTGATAATACGGAAGGGTAGATAGGTGTTCATAAATAGTGCAATAAAATCATAAAAAACATTTTGATAATGTAATATTGTACATGTATTTAAGTTTAATTAACTATACAATAAATATTACATTATCAAAATGTTTTTTATGATTTTATTGCACAATTAATGAATCCACTCTAAAAGGAAAATGTAATTTTTTAATTTTATTTAAGTTCAAGCACCTCGGATAATATGAAACCTTGGTTAAACGGGATTCGAACAACCGAGACTCCACTGTATCGTATTACCAGTATCTGACGACGGTAAATGAGGAATTTGTAAAATAGATCTCGTTATCAATTGTAGAAAATATTTCTTCTCAATGAATTAATTAAATGATTGTTGATATATAATTGAAATGAAATTATTAAATGAAAGAGTATATTATTAGAGATATATAAAAGGTCGAGATATATACTATTTAATGAAAGTTTCATTCTAATAGTTCCGTCATTTTTTTTTAAACCGGCCATTTTTACAAGCTAAAATTAAGGGCGCTAATAGCAAAAATAGTTCTGTCTCGACTTTGTATAATTGTGTATTTCTCTTTATTTATAACGTTCAATTAAACTTTTGTAAATTCAAATTCATAATATAATTTTTCATTATCTATTTTAGTGTTCACAATATATCATTTCACATTATATGATTGCACATGTGAAACAAATCAATAACTTGTTATATGAAACATAATTCCAACGTTTCTAAAATTTACCACACTTTAACTTCAATAAATATATTACTTGCTTAATTTTAACCAGTTAAGTTCCGACTCGTCGCTAGAAAGGATACTCTCTCAAAATACTTCTGAATTACAACAAGTTTCCAATCATAACACAGGATATTACATATTCTGGCACAGTACAACTCTCCAGTTTTATTACTGCTGCATATACATATAGATATATATGTATATATATTCTGAATATCTGTACAGTGTACTATATTTTGAACATATATAAATATATATGTATACCTCTTTATTTATATATATTTATACGCATTATATTTTTCCCTCTTTTTTGCTGCTTGGTATGTCTTTGATGCAAACTGTGAGAATTTAAAACGCATGCTCTCACTTCTTCTCGGCATCAGTTTAACCAGTTTAACCCACCGACAATGGAATAAACTCGAATATCCCCAAAAACGTTTGGGTAAAACTCGCTATAAATAACTAGCTTAATATATTTAGTGTTTTGCCAAGTGTTGCGCTCAATACGTTTCTGCAAACAACAATCTGCGTAACTCCTAGGACTTGTTTTATAATCTTTTTTTTTTTCATTTTTACTTGGAAACGAAGGCTTGTTCACCAAGATTCAGTTGATTTCTGTCACCACTTGTTCTTCTTCACTCCTCCACCCTATTATTAGTGAATCCTACCATACACAATGCATTAATGTCTCCTTTCACTAAATATACATACGCTTCTTTCACTTTTCAGCTCTGCTTCACTTTCAGCGTTACAGTTAACCTCTCTTTTTGCATTTTTTTCCATGTTCGCAGACATATAAGAGACATGCACGCTTTTTAATGAACTTACTCGTAACTGAATATGCATTCCTGACACGCTATCATTATTCTGCCATCGACGTCTGTGATTGACGAAGTGTCGGTCGATAGCCCAGAAATCCAGTAATTGAAAAAACGACGGAAATATAGTAATAATAATGTAATGATTTTCTTTTTATATCTTATATCTCTCGGCTCTGAGCGCGTGCATGACATAACTAGGATTTACAGTATTTTTAATTAAAAACGACGAGACACAACTAAGCCTGCCGAAAGAAATCGTCTCTTTCGTAAGCTCCCCACATTTTTTTTCGTTTTACTCATTTTTTTCTCTCTGTCTAATTTACTCTTGACGATCGTCGAGACTTGGTCCCAACCGCAATGGTGAGTTTTCTCGTGTCGCTCTAGATCCGCTAATTAACGATCGATCATCGATTTGATATGTCCCGGCCGTTTGTCGGTTCCGCGACAAAAGCTGCATTCTTTTAAACATTTTTTTCCTTCTTTTTGTAATGAAGATAAAATAAAAATAGAAAATTTGTATCAAGTATCAGAATTCAAATCTGCCACAGAAAGTCGATTGATTTCAAATAGTCTCAATTGTAGATTAATCGATTATTGATATTTGTCTTTTTTTAATTTTTCACTCTTTTTTTATAGTCTCGAATATTGACATTTAAATTAAATATTAAAAATCTGTGGGTTAACTGATTATCGATAAATTCGATATAAAGAGATTTTCATCTTCCCAATTTTTTTACTGTTTTCAACAGCTTTGAATATCGGAATTCAAATCTATCGATTATCGGTATGTTTGGTACAAAGATTTTCATGTTAAAATTTCTTTTTTACTTTTTTTTATCTTTTAATAGTCCCGGATGAAGAAAGAAAAATTAAATTGATCACTTTTTCTTTACATTCTTTAATTCTGTCTTTTTAATATTCGAAACGATAATTATCGATAGCTATAGTTGATAGACGTTTCAAAAGAGCACAGCTAGATTCGATGATTCACAATCGACGATTGACGATCGATAATCGCGGACGTGAAAATAGCGGGAAAAGAAGGATGCAGAGAACGATGAATATCTTTTTTGCCTAATGGCCGCAAGGATAATGACGAAGACGCGACAGTGGTGTGTCGGCGAGATTGAACGAGTTTACAGAGGTGTGTGTTATATCTCTTATACTTTATATATCTCTTGTAAGTAATCTTGTACTTTAATTACTCCAAATAAAACGACAAGATTTCTAACAACAGGGCGAGTAAACACGTCGCTAGGTGTGTAAAATATAATTATTCGTATAGATCCGCAATAGTTTAAATACAAGTATCGACGCGCCTAAAGTAGCTTTTTCATTTTCTTATGTCCAATACTGCTTCCAGCGATTACGATTGATTCAGCAGTAAGATATTGCAGCGTATCGATTTTTCACTGGTATCAATTTGCAAAAATCGTTCTCTCTCTCTCTCTCTCTTTCTTCATTTTGTTTCTTATTGCTTATAGTACAAGGACGCGATTGAACGCTATGCAACATTTTTACGTCGTTACAGACGCGAGGTCAATCTCTCCGACAGCGTGGGTCGAGTTTTTCCAAATTTGTTTTTCTCTACAAAAAATTTATCCGGGAAAATATTTTCAAAGAGCCTATTTAATCGCAAAGCAACGTCCATCGAGTGCGAAGATTATGAAAGTATAATAGTTATATCACTGCGTGAACAGAAAACAATCGACTAGGGAGGAAAATCTCGATACACGATGTTCGAGACACGACGCGATTATCGAACAATGGCGGAGCGTAAAACCAAGAAAAATTGCAGCGTACGTTAAATGCGAGTACGAAAGTGTCAACATCCAGCGTCTCAGTACCGCAGGCAGTGGCACGTTTCGAATTTCCTATAAACTGGAAATGCCAGATTGAAAATGGGATCCTTCGCGCATAAATTTAAGGATCGACAGAAATTTCCGGAATTAAAAATATTTAGCATTTTTATGGGAACGAGACAAGGAAAAAATATTATCGCTGTAGGTTGAAATTTCTGTTTGCGCACGCGCTGCAGATCCCACCGTTCAACGAGGTTAAGTCCTCCGCGACAATCGATAAATGATATCGATTGCTATTGATTCAATAAGAACAGAGGACAATTAACAATTATTTAAGGTTAACAATCAATTTCGCGAAAAACCAAACCTCCCAATCTGGGAATACCGAATATTTTGATCAACGACGGGGGGCACGATAGTTTAACACTAGATCTACTGAAAATTAACCGATACTTACTGTGGTTTCCAGCAGGACAATAAAAATGCTAAATTTATCCGGAAAGAAATTAAATAATCATGGAAAATTTTAGAAATTGTTACAAATGTCAGTAATTTTTTAAAGATATATCGATCATTTGAAGTTGTTTTAGTAGATATAGTGTTAAACTTGAATCTGTGAGGAAGATGGCGATCATGGGCCTGAAAATCACACCCTCCTACACAGTTTCCTCTAAATTCTCTGGTACAACGATTAGATTTACTTTACAAGGATATACAAGTGTCACGGCTGCTCGAGTTCCATTAAAAAAAAAATCTTCGAGGGCCATCTCGTGCTCACAATTAACCTAACCTATAACTGTCAACCACTCATTTAAAAGAAGATTATTAAAAAATGCAAAGGAAATCCCATAAAAAGTACTTTTTTCAGTTAAAATATTAATCATGTCAAACATAACCTCCAAGGTGAAGAAATCGTGAGCATGACAAGACCTAGAGCATCGAAGAAGGCTCGAGGCTTAGGTGTATATGTACAAGGTGTTTCTGAACTACAAGTAAAAACTAGCTAATAGAAGTTACTAATAAATGAAGTAATAATGAACGTAGGACAATGAACTAATCATTGTCGAGTTATTCGATTTTATAGTTTGCAAGTTATGTATGTACAAACACATATACCCGGAACTATTAACTTACAAATTAAAAAGTTGAGTATTTCAAAAAGATTGCTTTATCGACCTAGGTCCATTAAGATTTTTTTGTTTCTTCTAGTGAGTCCTATTAACCGATTAAGATCAGAAACACACTGTGCATATATATAGACGTATATACTATATATGTAGTATATAATATATAGTATATAGTATATTTACACTGTTAGGTGAATACGGTTCGATCTCGTTTTCAGGATCGATAGTCAGTTCGAAGCACGAGACGTGGAACGATGTTACCGATCGGTGCAATATCGTACCGCTGCGCATGCGTCTTTTGCACTTGTTCGCGAGTCGAATAAAAGTTCACTTATCCGTCCTACTTTTCCAATGGTTTCTCCACATGGCTGTTCTGGTCTGATTTCTTTGTTCTTGCTTGCACAGCAGCTTCAAATGGATACGAGGGGTTCTTGAGTACAGATATCCCGATTTTACACAAGGATTTGCACCGGTGACGATCGTCGCGAGGTATATACAAGGACAGTTCCCCTCCTGTGGCATCAGCACCATGGGAACTGGATTTTAGCCGCTAAAGTGGCCAAATTATTTTGGAATCGTTCGTTCCGTTTTTTCTCCCCCGCCATTTCCTATTTTTTAATTAAACGTGATTTACTCGATAATGTCGACTTATCCAGAGAGAAGAACGTATCTTATTCTTTTTTTTTTCTTTTACTGTTCACTCTCATTATTCTGTCTCAGCTATCGAAAGTATCAATTTTTTTTTCATTTTTGCATTTTGCTTGCCGTATTAGATATTCTACCATTCGATTTTAAATAGTCGCGAAATGTAGTTTTTAAATACAGAAGTACAGAGAGTAAGAACAATCGGAGCGTAGAAAGATTTTTAATGCAGTTTTAGGGACGGGACGAGTGTGACGAGTCGATTTTACTTTTTTTTTTCTTTTTCATGCTTCTTCGTGTCAAAGAGTTCACTCGGATGATCGGTGCAATCGGAAAAGAAACAAAAGAAATAAAACGTAAGAAACTACACAACGAGGATGACAATGGTGGTACCGAGCATGCAGACTTTGATTACAGCGAGATATCGATCACGTGTTTGTGTTTAGTGTGTATGTGTCGTTTTATCAATTTTTATTTTTTTTTCCAACTATAAAATATTCCATTGTAGTAACGATTGCGATCGCCAAATGTCGCTAGTTACTCGTTAATCGATATATTGATTTCTTTTAATCGTTTACTTTCTTCACATTTTTTTTTTTATTTAATTTATTGGAACCCTCATTCGCGAGATGCGACCGTGCCTATCAAAGCCTACTTGAAATTAGTAGCGACTGTTTATAACCTCTTTGTTCCCTCTAAGATCGATATCCATGAGTCGTATTTTCATTCCACTTCTTTGTGCATATAATTCTAATCTTGGATTAAACGAATCAAGCGATACGTCGTGAGGTAAAATGAAAGGAAAATATCGCGCGCCCGCGTGTGTGTGTATATGTGAGTGAGTGAGTGAGAGAAGAGAGAGAGAGAGAGAGAGAGAGAGAGAGAGAGAGAGAGGCAGGGAGGGAAATTTGTGAAGTACTTACATATGTCATGTATATGAGTATCCGCACAAAATCAATAAGAGTAGGGACCAGAATAAAAGTGGGGGGGTAAGAGTGGGACTGACAGTATACTAGGCACCATATTGGAGTGGGCAGATGTAGCGACATAGACAGGCGATAAGAAAGCACGACAAGATAAAAATGACAAACTAACCTTAATTAATTTCAGAAGAATTTGTCATACAGGATGACAAAATAAAATTGCAAAAAAATATGTGAGAATGTGAATGACAATGTGAGTGACCAATGAGGCGAGTATAGAATATCACGACGCCGATGCATCGTTGGTGTGTGTGTGTGTGTGTGTGTGTGTGTGTGTGTGTGTGTGTGTGTGTGTGTGTGTGTGTGTGTCCATAAGAACAGCGCGTCTTTATAACTGGCAGTGTAAGGCATATAGAGTGCTTAAGACTAGAATACAGTGCAGTTTAAATAGGCCTTCTAAAGCCTTTATTTTTTTTTTCTCATCTCCAAACTAAGTCCTATTTATTTTTTGTCTTTACGACGGACCTACGAATAAAATCATTGTGTCCATGTGAATGCAGTATCGAATTAACGAGGCTCCCGTGACTCGAGCGCGCGCAAAAAGAAACCACCTGTGCTTTTCTCCCCTTCCACGAATATTTTTCGTTTTTTTTCTCTTTTTTTTCATTTTTTTTTTCTTTTTGTTAAAAGCTATATACAGTTGCGGTCATTAATATCCGGCCACTTTTAAAACAGAATAATTTTTTTTAAATTGTACCAAACGACTTGAATTTTATTGAAAATTTCGAAGGATTAGTTTACTAGATGACGTGTAGAAAATTGATGAAAAAATTGCAATTTATGGGAATCGCGAAGAAAATTGTAAAAGTCACTTTTTACAACTTTTTTATCTGAGTTTGTTGTGAAAATTTGAGACATACGTTTTATACATCTATGTAAATTATATACATGCTGAAATTTTCATAAAAATCGGTTAACATTGCTATGAGCTACAAACGGTTAAAAATTTGGAAAATCGCTGTTTTTCACGACTTTCGGTCTATAACTGTAATAAATCTAAAATTTCTTACATCTTTCAATGCCTGTCGCTTGTTTCTGTATCATTAGATTTCGATGAAAATTTTGGCACGTGGATAATTGACATACATCTATAAAACGTATTTTTTAAATTTTTATTACCGGCTTTCATTTGTCAAAAAGGACCTTAGCAATTTTCTTTGCGATTTCCACAAATTACAATTTTTTTCAAAATTTTTTGTACATGTCATCTAGTAAACTAATCCTTCTAACTTCTCAATAAAATTCAAGTCGTTTGATCCAATTTAAAAAAAAGTTATACTGTTCTAAATGTGGCCGGATATTAATGACCGAAACTGTGTATATGTATAACACACGCACGCACGCACGCATAGACGCACACACGTACACAGAGTGTGTGTATGATTTATCTGAGAACGTGTATCTTGAAAAATATTTAAGATAAAAATTGTAGGATGTCAAGGAGCACATATGATCCCTATATGTATTTGACCTTGCGATAACCATGAAAAGTTTTATGAAAAGGTTACGTTTAAATTTTTAAATGGAAACCTATACTTTTTGTTACATATTCTTGTAGCTGACGTTAAAATGTTTTTGAAACATTACCACGCGTGCATTTTGCATTAGTCAATGTCAAGATATCAAATTTTAAATGTGATGAACCGCCAGTATTAGCGTGACACCACGGTTCACACCCCAGCTAATTACAAAAATTCCTGTACAATTTAGATGGTTACTAAAACAATGCAATGACACGAGACAGTTTGTCCTAATGATTCTATAGCATCGAATTGGA